AACCATCTTGCGAGACACAGGTGGTTCTCAGTCCATACTTCGTGACGGTATCCTACCTTTGTCTTCCTTGTCCTCATGCCAGTCATCTGCAATTGTGCAGGGTATTGGGATGACGTTTGTTTCAGCTCCCTTGCATAAGCTTTATGTCCGTTCATCATTCATTAACATTCATTGTAAGGTCGCAGTTCTTCCTGCCTTGCCAGTAAAAGGGGTAGATTTTATCTTAGGCAATGACTTGGCTGGTGGGATGGTTGTGCCTGTTCCAGAGGTGTTGGAAAATCCTGTGACGAGTGCTGGATCAGAAAGTTCGCAGATTGGTGCTGAGATTTTTCCGGCATGTGTGGTCACAAGAGCTCAGACAAAAAAATATGGTCTTGATCTCTCTGACTCTTTTATTGTTACACAGTACCCTCCTGACCAAGTGGACGATGAGGTTCAGCTTAAAGTCGCAAAGCAATGTCTAAACTTGCCAAGTTTTGAGGGACTGAAGTTACCGATTTCTCGGGCAGACTTTATTGAAGCACAGACGAATGATGAGACTCTAAAAAAAATGTCATGCTTCTGTTTCTTCAAATGAAGCCATTGGGAAGAAAGCATCCCATTTTGTTGCTGATGGCATGTTGATGCGTCGATGGACTAGGGGAGAGTCTGAAGACTGGGACACAGTTTATCAGGTGGTTGTACCCAAATGTTTCCGTTCGGAAGTGCTACTTTTAGCTCATGATAATGTTTGGTCAGGACATATGGGGGTAACAAAAACTTACAAAGTCCTAAAGCATTTCTCTTGGCCAGGACTTAAGTCTGATGTTGTTAAGTACTGTCGAACCTGTCATGTATGCCAGATTGCAGGGAAACCGAATCAAGTGATTCATTCAGCTCCTCTTGTTCCCATCCCGGCAGTGGGGGAACCATTTGAAAGGGTGATTGTTGACTGCGTGGGACCTTTGCCGAAAACAAAGTCTGGAAACCAATTTTTGCTGACTGTTATGTGTGCTTCTACTAGGTTTCCTGAAGCTGTACCATTGCGGAGAATAACGGCACCAGTTATCTCCAAGGCGTTGGTAAAGTTCTTCTCAGTGTTTGGCCTACCAAAAGTAATCCAAACTGATCAATGTACCAACTTTAAGTCAAAAACTTTTGCAGAAGTGGTTAAAATCTTGGGTGTCACTCATGTTACGTCAAGTTCTTACCATCCTGAGAGCCAGGGAGCTTTGGAACGTTTCCATCAAACTCTTAAATCAATGTTGTGCAAACACTGCCAGAGTTCTCAGAAGGATTGGGATGATAGTGTCCCACTTCTGTTATTCGCTGTCCGTGAAGCAGTTCAAGAGTCACTGGGTTTCAGCCCAGCGCAGTTGGTATTCGGACATGACGTAAGGGGCCCTTTGAAGGTTCTGAAAGACCAGTTGACTTTGCCAGAGAGGACTACTAAGACCATCCCAGAATATGTAGTTAAACTAAAAGATAAACTCCAGAAGGTTCGCGCTTTAGCTGAAAGTGCTCTGGCTTCATCTCAAAAGAGAATGAAGCAACGTTATGACAAAAAGGCAGTCATACGTTTGTTTAACCCAGGTGATAAAGTCCTTGTCTTATTACCTGTTCTTGGTTCTGCACTCTCCACCAAATTTGCAGGTCCATATGTCATCAGAGAAAAACTCAGTGACACCAACTACACTGTCAACACTCCTGATCGCAAGCGGCGAGTAAGGTTATGTCATGTGAACATGATAAAACTGTACTGTTCCAGGGAACCTGACCCGGTGGGGTCCACGGCGAAGGGGGAGGAATCCGTCTCTGCGGTGGCACCAGTGGTAACAGTGGAATCCCTCAGAGTTGACGAAAGTGTTGGTTTGGTGGAACCGACCCTTATGAAACATGGGGCCAGACTTGCTAATACAGAGGTGTTAGCTAATCTTTCTGAGTATCTTTCTCACCTTTCAGATGACCAGCGGAAGGACGTGGAAAAACTCATTTATGAGTTCCCTACACTTTTTGGTGATGTTCCTTCACAAACTGACCTAGTCTTTCATGACATTGTTCTGGTGGATCCAAAACCCATCAAGCAGAGTGCTTACCGGGTTAACCCTGTAAAAAGAGAGCTGATGAAGAAAGAGGTAGAGTATCTCATTGAAAATGGATTAGCAGTTTCAAGTAATAGTCCATGGAGTTCTCCTTGCCTGTTGGATATGAAACCCGATCGAAGTCCAAGATTCTGTACGGATTTTCGAAAAGTGAATGCTGTCACTGTGCCTGATGCACATCCTCTGCCTCGCATAGATGACTGCATCGATGAAATTGGTCCTGCTACCTACGTTAGTAAACTGGATATGTTGAAAGGTTACTGGCAGATCCCATTAACTGAAAGAGCTTCTGATGTTTCTGCATTTGTAACACCTGATCACTTTCTTCAATACACAGTGATGCCTTTTGGATTGTGTAATGCTCCAGCTACCTTCCAGAGGCTTGTGAACCTACTACTGGGAGAGGTGCAAAACTGTCAAGCTTATCTAGATGACATCGTGGTGTATTCCGACGACTGGACGAGACACGTTGCGACCTTGAGGGAGGTATTTCAACATTTATCGCACGCTAACTTGACTCTCAACCTTGCCAAATGTGAGTTTGGTAAAGGAACTATCCTTTACCTTGGTCAGAGGGTGGGAGGAGGATGTGTCTGTCCTGAAGATGCTAAGATCCAAGTGATTAATGCTTTCCCTGTTCCAAAATGCAGAAAAGAACTCCACCGATTTTTGGGTATGATAGGTTACTATCGCAGGTTTTGAAAAACTTCTCATCTGTAGCATCGCCGTTAACAGCCTTAACCAGTCCATTACAACCTTTTACTTGGTCTGATGAGTGTCAGCAGTCTTTCGAGCATCTCAAAGCCATGCTCTGTTGTACTCCGGCGTTGTCTGCTCCGAATTTCTCTTTACCCTTTAAGATCGAGGTTGATGCCAGTGCAGTAGGTGCCGGAGCTGTCCTTCTGCAAGAGGATGTGCAGGGAATTGACCATCCTGTGAGTTATTTTTCTAGAAAGTTCAATACTCACCAAGTTAAGTATTCTACTATAGAAAATGAAACCCTTGCACTGTTACTGGCCTTACAACACTTTGAGGTTTATGTTGGTTCGAGTTCTGAACCTGTTAAGGTTTTCACTGATCATAATCTAGTGTTTCTCTCCAGGATGTTTAACCAGAACCCCCGCCTTATGCGTTGGGCTTTGATCATTCAAGAATACAACCTGGAGATCCATCACAAAAGGGGTTCAGAAAATGTGTTGGCTGACGCTTTATCTCGTGCAACTTCACTAAAGTAATAGATTCAAACGGTGTTTGACCTTTAAAGGGTGGAGGTGTTACGTGCAAAGAGTTTTTGCTGGCAGTTCTATAGCTGTTTTCTTTTCCAGGTTCAACTTGCCTGATACACTGAGGTGAACCTTCCCTTTTTGTCGGTGATTGGCTGCTGTGTACCTGGTTGCCCAATCAGCTGTGGAGCCTGCCTTTAAATAGCCTACACCTGGTGGACACGGCGGCCATTTTGTTCTGATCCTGCCTTTGAGCTCAGAGTTTTTTTTGTCCCTGCTCTCTAGTTGTGAAGTTGAAGCTGAAGTCCTTTTAAAGCTGATTGCCAGGTATGTGGTGGGAAGGTTGTGGACCAGGTAAGATGGGGTACCCTGTACATCTGCACACGTAGTATCTGGATGTCTAAAAACACTAGGTAAGCGTGGGTAGTACCTCTCTTGTACTGGTTTTAGAACACCATTTTTGTAGATAAGTAAGTTAGGGTTTTCTTTCTCTTTTTATTCTCAGGATTAAGAGTTCAGTTAGGGTGTGTTTTGTTTTATTTATTTCATTTATTTGGTCAACCCACAGGTCCCTACTTTTCCCCCACATTAGTTTTTTTATTATCTTCAGCAAATAAACTTTTTTGCTCTTTAGCAGAACGGCCTCCTCCATTATTGTGACTGTCATGTTGCTTCCCCCACACCCTAGACTGGGGGGGAACGTAACAACCATCAAAGCTTTTGACACGTCGTCAAAACCTTTTTGCACCTGCAAAGCTGATACAGCAAACAGTTCCTGCAGAATGAGCTGATAGTGTTCAGGCTCCATCAGAGTCCCAGACACGCGGTTCCATCCATCTGTCGTGACCCGAGACATCTCTTGACTGAAGAGTCGGTGCCACGGTATTCTACAGCCCTTCGGTGCCAGAGGTCAACCGACCTCTTCAACCTTCGGATCCACCAAGAGGGTCTCCAGAACGAGTGAAGTAGACACACAGATGGCGTCTGATGTGTTTTGATAATAATCGACTTCTTAACTTAACGCAAACACAATTCTTTTACATCCAGAACTCGGCTCTCCTAGATACGGAAGTTCTGACCAACATCACATTCACACCTGCATCACATCTAGTTCCATCCATCACAGGAAATGTTAGTTAACCTGTCATGTTTTAATTGTTGGTCAAATAAATTCTTACTTTTATAAACCTGACTCTTTTCTGGATCTAAACGAAGTGTGTACATCCCCCGATAAATAAAGAACCCTAGAATCTTCTGATAAACACACAAAGACCAAGCAGGCTGATATTCTATGTTTAGATAGAGTATCGCAGCTTTTGGTCATAAGTAGAGGTAATATATACGGAGCTCTTAAAGCACTACATTTACCAAACCCTACATCTACGTTTGCTGACTTTCCTCTGTAGCTCATAGCTACATCAGGTCAGAGTGTGTTGGGTGTCAATCATCTGACTCCACCCTCACAGCCCCACTCTCAGCTCCAATTGGTATTTTCCAGGAATGACGAGACAAATGAGGTGGCCAAGATAGCAGTGGTGGGAACCGCCCACTGGGCTTCCACTCTGCTCTTCAGAAACCTACGGGTGACCGAGCGAGGGTTTGTCCATCTTTAATACAGTTTATATATCCCACTCAGAAACAGTGGAGCTTTTACTTTGAAGGTAGCCACAACAAAACATCTTGTCCAAGCACTTACCCACAAAGCTTTGCTTCTTGCTCTCCCACAGTGGAGCAGCTCGTACGCCGTTTGCCACCAGAGCGAAGAAGGCCTTCTTCACCTGAAACGATCAATCATTGGTGGATTGGTTGTTATTGAAGCCATATTGCTGTGTGTGTGTGTGGCTCCTGATCTTGTCTGAATCAGGAACTCTAAGAATATTAGATTTTTGACTTCCATCATCAATATTTCAAGGATTCATCTGTAATAAGGGCAATTCCTGCTGGTGACCTCACTGAAGGTAGGCGGAGTCTATCAGAACAGGAAGGGGTCCTCTAACTTGAGCAATACTCATGACTAGCCCATAATAGTAGCTAATCTCCTAGAGGGAACCCATCGTTACCAGGCGATGGCCCAGAGCACACTGGTCATCTGCAGCACTCACAGTCTGCCTCTATCAGTCATGTGTGCATCATCTTTTCTCTCGTTATCACTAAATGTTGCTGTTTGGTTTAGAAAAACACCAAAGAACATGCAGGTTGAATCCAATCAGCAGAAATGATCCAGTGGTAGGGATGGTGGTGGTCACCGTGCAGCTTCAGTAGCAAATTACAGTCCCCACTAGATGCATGACTGCTGGAACCACCAAGGTCACTAAATCAATAATCACCAAGCGTGTGATCCAACAAACATCAGCTGTGGCTTTTCAGCTCAAGACCATGCACCATGTGACTTCTGGTGTGCTGGAGTCCCTCAGAGCTCTGTCCTTGGACCTGACATCCCCTCGTGGCCAGCTGGGCTCGTCCTGTGGAAACATCAGAATTGGGGTGGAGAGGGTCTCACCTGCAGGGTGGTGTCAAACACCACCAGTTTGGAGCTGGTGGGGATGATGTCGTAGCATTTATGACATTTCATGAAGCGCATGTAGATGTCCCTCTCTGACTCGTTAGAAGCTGTGGAGACACAAACCAGATCAAAGACCTGCTAAGAGACCAGCAACCAGGAAACGGGTCTACGGCCTGGTCCAGAACTGAACAGGACACAGCTTCATCTAATTAAATAGTAGAGTCCAATCAGGTCCTGGTTCTGACAAATAAGGACCTGTGTGATGTCACTTCCTGTTTCTCTGATGAGCATCCTGATTGGCCACTGAGCAGATTCACCCTGTAGTGACTCTGGGTCAGAGTTTAACCTTTGACCTTTGCCTCCATCCAACTACACATCTTGGTGAAGTCCAGGGAGACATTTGACATCACTTCATGTCACCTGATACTCTAACATGCTGAGTCATGGAGAAATTAGAAACAATGGCCGTCTGTCTGCATCTCTATCAGATTATCATAATAGCGTTACAAGAAAACTAAGTGTTGTTGTTTCTAATCAGTTCAACTCAAAGGTGCTTTATTAATCCCAGAGGGAAATTAGAGTTTCAGTACACACAATTCTGAGATCAGACATACATGGGCAAGAGATCAGACATACATGGGCAAGAGATCAGACATACATGGGCAAGAGATCAGACATACATGGGCAAGAGATCAGACATACATGGGCAAGACACATGACAAGAATTGGTGACTGTGGTCATTTGCAACCCGAGTCGCGCTACCATAGAGATCAGAGGGTTTACATAAGGACTGAGTCAGGTGGAGGAAAAAAGGCACTTCAGAGTTACCCTCCACAGGGAGGGCAGCTTTGCTCTGCAAAATGCAACAGACTTCAGACATCACACAACATAAGTGTCCACCAGGTGGGGTGGTGGGTTTGGGACTCTCCACACATCAGTTCCTGCAGCAGCGATAAGCAGCGCTCGTCACCTCAGTCTGGACAGGGGAAGGAGTTCGTTGGGTTTGGAGGGCACAGTGACTCCTGGAACGATTCAGCGGCCTTCACAGCTCGCAGTCCCGCCCAGGCTGGGATAGGGAGACAGAGTTGCCATGGCGACGGCAGCATTCCACATTCTGAGGGGGAGTATTCATTTCAGCCTCACAGGCTCAAGGGCACCAGATTCAACACCCCGATCAGCTGAGCCTAAGCTGCCTGTTGCTATGACAACATCACACCTGGCTGTCAGGCTCAGTAGCACCTGCCTTACAGACACCACTGAGGGCACAGAGCTCCGGTTAACTTTGGAGTCTTCATCATCATCACCTACCGGCATCATCCAGGTCCGGCTGGTCCGACATGCCGTCTGAAACCTCCACCTGTTGAGGAACACACAGAATGAGCCGTGGTGAGCCCCATCACCCTCACCCCCGGTTGCAGGAGGTAGCTCCGTTCCAGGTGTTGTGCTGAGAAAAGAATACCTGCTGGGATTTCCAACATGTTTACCCTACAGAGTCAAACATATCTGAAACCAGTCATCATCGTACGTCTTGTGCTGCTACACTCTACCACGTGACTTACATGGCAACTTAAGAACTCTAGATGTTCTTCTAAAAGCCCATAAGGATAACCACCAGCCCAGCGTACACGAAACAACAGAAGCCCTTGTCATCAAACTAAAACGACTGAAATCTGGAGACCTGGTTGACTTGTTTCTGTTTAAATCAAAAACCAACCCCTACCGGGAATTCTCCGACAGCGTTTCCAGCTGTTCCCTTAAGGAGCAGAAAGTGACATCTGTCCTAAACATGTGCACTTGTTCGGGTTTGATCCGGACTGCCTCTTTAGGGGTAATCGTTCTTATTTCTGTCTGGTGCTTTAATAATCAGATTACTATAATCTGGACCAGCTGATTTAAGACTTTATGCGTCATCACGTGATCCAGATGACACTCACTAATGAGTCGGAGCGAGTTTGTTCATTAGGTCATAAATAAAGCAGAGCGCGTATGTAGAGCTCAGCTGTTTTCCACCACCATGGATGTCACGTGATTTACTGCCCTACGTTCAGCACCGGTGCGCGCTCCCGCGATAGCGCGCGCGGTGCAGCGTCCGCATCATGAACGCTAGCGGCTTCAGCAGCAGCAGGAGGTGTTGCGCAGCATCTGGTCACCATCACGTCTCCGTGTTAGGGTTAGGGTTAGACGGTCACACTACCGGTAGGGTTCGGTGCTGGGACCAGCGTGAGGAGGTGACACCGCGCTGCCTATGACGTCAGACCGTTTCCTTGGTAAAATGGGTTAGATTCGGCGGTGATGAGCAAGTCAGCACCTACCTGACCTCCGCCGTCCACCCTGTCGCTGCTCTGGCCGTCCCCGCACGAATACATCAAATATTTACCGTTCCGTCTTGCGCCTCAGCCCGGTTAGGGAGCTCCTGCGCCGGTAAACGATCGTCTACAGTCGGTAAAAGTCGTGTGGGTCCGTCCACAGTCCACTGTCAAGATGCTAGCATACTTCCGGTGATAATTTTCACAATAAAAGTTCTGCGATTAGAAACCGAATGCATTAAAAAACGGGACAAGACACGGTTCTGTTATAGACGGTATTTGTAGATAGCAGTAAATAATTATGTGTTCATCCCGTTAAAGTCCAGATAAAACACACACACACACACACACACACACACACACACACACACACACACACACACACACAAACACACACAAACACACACACACACACACACACACACACACACACACACACACAGGGGGGTGTACAGTGGACTTCCAGCTGATGGCCTCCAGGAGAGAATCAGCAGAACACCAGACCAACTGTAGCTTCTCTGGGGAGAAAGTAGTACTAGTTATCTCCTCTCCTCTAGTCTGTGACTAGTTATCTCCTTAACTAGTGTGTGACTAGTTATCTCCTATCATCTAGTCTGTGACTACTTACCTCTTATCACCTTTTCAATGACTATCTCCTTTCATCTAGTCTGTGACTAGTTATCTCATCTCATCTAGTGTGTGACTAGTTATCTCCTATCATCTAGTCTGTGACTAGTTATCTCTTATCACCTTTTCAATGACTATCTCCTTTCATCTAGTCTGTGACTAGTTATCTCCTATCATCTAGTGTGTGACTAGTTATCTCCTATCATCTAGTCTGTGACTAGTTATCTCTTATCACCTTTTCAATGACTATCTCCTTTCATCTAGTCTGTGACTAGTTATCTCCTATCATCTAGTGTGTGACTAGTTATCTCCTCATCTAGTTTGTGACTAGTTATCTCCTATCATCTAGTGTGTGGCTAGTTATCTCCATCATCTAGTATGTGACTAGTTATCTCCTATCATCTAGTGTGTGACTAGTTATCTCCTCTCATCTAGTCTGACTAGTTATCTCCTCTCCTCTAGTCTGTGACTAGTTACCTCCTCATCTAGTTTGTGACTAGTTGTCTCCTATCATCTAGTTTGTGACTAGTTGTCTCCTATCATCTAGTCTGTGACTAGTTACCTCCTATCATCTAGTCTGTGACTAGTTACCTCCTATCATCTAGCCTGTGACTAGTTACCACTTCTCCTTTATTCAGTGACTAGTCATCTAGTCTTCTCTGGTCTGTGACTTGTTATCTCCTCTTATCTAGTTTTTAACTCAATATCTCCTGTCCTCTAGTTTTTGACTAGTCATCTCGTCTCCTCCAGTCTGACTTGTTATCACTTCTCCTGTAATCTCTGACTAGTCAACTCCTCTCCTCCAGTTTGTGACTAGTCATCTCGTCTCCTCTAGCCTGACTTATCACTTCTCCTGTAGTCTCTGACTAGTCAACTCCTCTCCTCCAGTTTGTGACTAGTCAACTCCTCTCCTCTAGTTTGTGACTAGTCATCTCGTCTCCTCTAGTCTGACTTGATATCACTTCTCCTGTAGTCTCTGACTAGTCAACTCCTCTCCTCCAGTTTGTGACTAATCATCTTGTCTCCTCTAGTCTGACTTGATATCACTTCTCCTGTAGTCTCTGACTAGTCAACTCCTCTCCTCTAGTTTGTGACTAGTCATCTCGTCTCCTCTAGCCTGACTTATCACTTCTCCTGTAGTCTCTGACTAGTCAACTCCTCTCCTCCAGTTTGTGACTAGTCATCTCGTCTCCTCTAGCCTGACTTATCACTTCTCCTGTAGTCTCTGACTAGTCAACTCCTCTCCTCCAGTTTGTGACTAGTCAACTCCTCTCCTCTAGTTTGTGACTAGTCATCTCGTCTCCTCTAGCCTGACTTATCACTTCTCCTGTAGTCTCTGACTAGTCAACTCCTCTCCTCCAGTTTGTGACTAGTCAACTCCTCTCCTCTAGTTTGTGACTAGTCATCTCGTCTCCTCTAGCCTGACTTATCACTTCTCCTGTAGTCTCTGACTAGTCAACTCCTCTCCTCCAGTTTGTGACTAGTCAACTCCTCTCCTCTAGTTTGTGACTAGTCATCTCGTCTCCTCTAGCCTGACTTATCACTTCTCCTGTAGTCTCTGACTAGTCAACTCCTCTCCTCCAGTTTGTGACTAGTCAACTCCTCTCCTCTAGTTTGTCACTAGTCATCTCGTCTCCTCTAGTCTGACTTGTTATCACTTCTCCTGTAATCTCTGACTAGTCAACTCCTCTCCTCCAGTTTGTGACTAATCATCTTGTCTCCTCTAGTCTGACTTGATATCACTTCTCCTGTAGTCCCTAACTAGTCAACTCCTCTAGTTTGTGACTAGTCATCTCATCTCCTCTAGTCTGACCTGTTATCTAGTCTAGTCGGTCGGCAAGATGGTGCCTGTGCTTGGCCTAGCCGCGGTCACCGGCCACTTTTTCAAACTTTTCTCCACTAACCTCCTCTTTTCCACCTTGCTCCTGTCTGCGATCCTCTTCAGTAGTGTCCCTGCTACCATCTCCCATGATCGCCAGACTCTTTTGTCCTTCCGTTCGTTCACAATAGCCCAAGATGCATCGAGGATGTACCATCCTGTTTGTTTACCTGAGCGGCGCACTGGCCCGGAAGCAACCGACGATCCAGAGCTGCGCACCTCTAGCGATGTTTGTCCGGTCCCGGGAAAACGTTGGAGGAAAAGAGGTAAACGAGCAGGAATCCAGGTGAGAATAAGACTTCTCTTAAAGCGTGGTTTATCTGGTAAACATCGGCGTGATCTTCTAGCTTCTTGTCCTTTGTTTGGTGACCTGAGCGCCACTTCCGCATTCCCGCCAGGCCGCGTTGCGACACGGTTCATCCGTCCAAGTTTTTAAAGGTCGGTTTATCCTCATTCCTCAGTGGTTTCTCCTGTTCCCTCCATAAGTGGTTTTTATAAACACCGTGGATCTAACCCTGCTAATTTACGTCCACTAACTCCAGCTGGTTCTGTAGTTTCTGATTCCTCCACCTCACTCAGCATGGCTCTATTAAACACCTGCTCTGTTAACAATAAGTCCTTCCTGCTCATTGATCTAATTCTGTCTAAAAACCTGGATTTTCTGTTTCTGACTGAAGTTTGGCAGCAAACATCTGATTATTCTGCTCTGATTGAACTCTGCCCGAGTGGTTATTCTTTTCTTAGCCAGCCCCGGGGTTCTGGTCGTGGTGGAGGCCTAGCTGTTGTTTTCAGAGACCATCTTCCATGTAGCTCTACAACCTCTGGTCACTTTGCTTCCTTTGAACTGCAGCTGATTAAAGTCGGGCGTAAGGACCCGTTCTACTGTGCTGTGGTCTATCGTCCACCTGGTCCAAACAGTTCTTTCCTTCAGGAGTTTAGTGACTTTCTATCCTCCACTGTGAAGCTGTGCAGACTGGTGATTGTTGGTGACTTTAACATCCACGTTGATGATCCCTCTGATCTCTTTGCCATGAATTTCTCCAGCCTTATGGACTCCTTCAGCTTTACCCAGCATGTTTCTGGCCCCACACACACCAGGGGGCACACTCTAGACCTTGTTTTTACGCTGAGTCTAAATGCTGACAGTGTTTGTCCTGAGGACGTTTATATTTCAGATCACCATTGCATTTTCTTTAACTTGTCAGTTTCTGCGTCCCCACCTCCTGCTCGCTGTATGGTTAGTTCTCGTTTTCTTAATGAGAGCACAGCTAGCAATTTTTCTGCTGCTTCTGATCCACCCTGTTCTTCTGATAACGACCCAGATTCCTTAACTTCTCAGTTCAACGAGCACTGCCTCTCCATTCTGGACAACATCTGTCCTGTCAGAACCAGATCAGTTCCTGCAGTGAACCCTACTCCCTGGTTTAATGACAGCCTTCGCAGCCTGAAGCACCAATGCAGAAAAATTGAGCGTTTGTGGAAGAAAACCCATCTCCACGTCCATCTGCTGCACCTAAAGGATCTTCTGACATCCTTTAACTCTGC